AAGAGTGATCATGACTTGATTGACGAAAAAACAACGCAAAATACAATAAAATGAGATGATTATTCAAAAAGGGGTAAACTTTTCTAAATTAGACACTAGCAAAAAACTAAACAATGTTGGCAGTGGGAGGGGTATACCGGGCCGGCCAAAGCCTCCAGTAGGTGGCAGTATAACCTGACTGTATCAGATTAACATACGCCCTCCAACTGCCTTTCCTCATCTACTAAAACATTTCTACAACAACATTCAAAATGAAACAAAACAAAAAAACCTGTATCCTATACATACACCATCAACACAACAATGACAAATGGTGTTTTTACACATTTTACCTTACAATTTCTGCATGAGTTATCATAACCTCCTCTTACCTTGAAGACACAGGATTGTCTCTTTGTGATCAGGCAATATTATTATTATAAGATAACCTCATTAAAGTGCACCCCCCCCATCCCAACCTAAAAACCCCAGGTGCATGTAGCTCTGCATGCTGATCTAACAAAACCTTAAAGAATCATACGCTTGATAAGTCTTTTTTGTGTACTTGCATTTCAGTGATGGTGGCACTGGTGATGTAGCCCTGGCCTCACAGCTACCACAGGGAAGGCTACATCACCAATGCCTTCCAGGGAACTCTTGTAAGTTAAAATGTTAGGTGTGTAGAAGAAAAAAAAAAAAAAAAGGCTTTTCTCTGAGAAATCTCAGCAAAAAGCCTTTAACACATTAAATGGCACTAATGTCACATGTAGGCGGGGTGAAGTCCACTTTAAGCCATTCCTTATTCATGTTAATTAATCTTCAGAACATCTTCCCACAACTACCAAAGCAAACTTGATCGACACGTCAGTCCACGTGCTCAATTCCCACTTTTATACGGCAGCTCACTGACAAAACAGTTTGTTCATTGTTCTCTACTTCAACAGTGACCATTTATGCTTATTTCTATTATGACAGATTTACTGTCAGGAATTAGGGAGGCACCACTGCTGACCTTGTTTTCCAAATGTTAGCCGACCTAAACCCTGATCATTAAAAAGGTGGAACTATGGGAAACAACATTACATATACAATGCGGTCTGTCAGCAGCATTAACACAGCAGTCTTTGTTTGAGGAGTTCTTCCTGTAACTTAGTTGTATTACCTGGTGATCCGGCCAGTAAGTCTCTTATGTTTTAACTTCCTTTAAACAGACCAAGCTGTCCCGTAAAAGTGGAAGTTAAAGGGTTGACTTTAACACTGATATGGGTGCTGACAATGATCAGCTTTTATTCATAGTTAAAACCCAAAAGCGGCAACAAAACTGTTGCTATCACTGCTTAAAATGTGCTTGTTGGAGTTAAGGTGGCCATGCACGGTGCAAATTTTGTCTGGTTCTTGAGGAAAAATTTGCACAGTGGAATTTTTCCCCCTTCCTCAAGAACACCCTTTATCCTGGCATCCCTCCATCAGCTGATCCAAGGAGCCAGTTGGAAAATCTTCATACAACTCTGTCCAGGTATTCTGATAGCAGCCACCAGCCGCTGTCAGAATACAAAAGGAAACAGCAGGGATTCATCGATCAATACCCTCGAAGCATTGATGGAGGAACCTGCTGTATTTCTATTATTTAGCCTGCAGGTGTATGGCCAGCTTTGGTCTTTAATTTGTTAATTATTCATGTACAGTCCATGTAAAAGTCAAGTCAACCTCACTACCATATCAAAAAGGTTGACTAAACTGCTGTCTAAGGGTCGTTAGAGCTCTTCATCCAAACCTGTGCCCAGAAACTATGTGGCAGCACAATAGCTTAGTGGTTAGCACTTCTGTCTTGCAGGAGTTTGCATGTACTCCCTTTGCTTGTGTAGGTTTGCTCCGGGTACTCCGGTTTCCTCCGGGTACTCCAAAGACTTGCTGGTAGGTTAATTGGCTCATGTCTAAATTGGCACTCGTATGTATGCATGCGAGATAGGGACCTTAGATTGTACGCTCCTTGAGGCCAGGGACTGATGTGACTGTGCACTATGCAAAGCACTGTGTACATTGTCAGCACTATATAAATACCTGTAATACATAAATATTTGTAACCAAATTCAACCCAGCACTGTTAAATGGTATCTGGAGAATGATAGTTTGACTCCAGTTTGCTATTGCTGAGCTATATAGATGCCAATTATAAATAGGGCTTAATGAGCCCAATAACATACTAAAAGACCCAGGAGCTCGCTAGATCCTCCTGATGAAAGGAAGATACATCTTCACAATGGCACCTGCCACAATTTTCTTGGTCCATAATTTGTTTAGTAAATAGATACATAATAAAACATTTTTACCTTGCACTTTTAGGTGTAAAGTAACACAGATCTAAAAAGGTCTCCAATGTAGAAAAGACTCTGTCAGTAAAGAATATTTACTTCAACCCATGGATGAAGCGTCACATTTTCTTGGAGGGCACAGCTATCATTTACAGGGTGTGCAGAAATGTAGACATGAATGTTTGTCCCATTCCATAGTGCGTTCCATCTAAATATGGGTCATGTTAGCGTACCTTTGCCAAGGACACAGGGACTAATTTAGTGACATTCACAGCCACTGGTACAAGATACTATATTCACCTGAACCCACATCACACTACCAAGTCATCATTCAGTCTACATTCTGAAATGACAGAAACATCAAACGGGGAAGCAGATAGTAATAAACAGGATTCTCTTATATTGTTTTATTAGAAGCAGCTCATCTTATTCATCTGTTTATCAGGCAATGAAGAGCCGGGTGAATGTGGGCAAAGCTCCTGATTTCAAGTACTGCTGCTAACAACTAGGCAGTCCCGGTGTTGTAGGAGGCAGGGAGTGTAAAGCAATTTTTTAGGAGCATTGGCGACCTGGCTCCTGGGATTTGTCCAGCCCTGTCTTACATACATGTGAATTATTTAAAAAGGGGCTTTCCAGTCTCTTGAATTAAAAAAAGGAATCCCCCTAAGCTTCAGAAGCTTGGCTGCCATTCAGGGGGGCAGCATGAAAACATACCATGAAAGGTGATTTGGGTCATATTTTATGTGCCTTTATCTGCAAGAAAAGGTTTTCAATGTTCTGATAACAAATCCTGACCTAAAAACTGCAACAAATGAAGTGTAAATATACAAGGCAATCACAAGGGATCACAAGGCAACAGATACAAATATGACAACAAGGATGCTGGTAGGAATGTAAACACTCGTTACAAGGTCTTTAGATGATCTCCGGTGAACACCACAAGTAATGTTAGGCAGCCATAGACCTTCTACATCCAACCACAATGAGGGGTATTTATCAAAACCGGGACAGACAAAATCTGGAGCTGTTGCCCATGGCAACCAATTAGCTGCCAACTTTCATGAAACGAAACCCGAGTGCTCCAGTTTTGATAAATTCCCCCCAATGAATCCCTGGAGCTGTGTAAAATCACACATCATATGGCAGGGGTGGACAAATGAATATGGAATTCAGGAACCAGGTCTGTCCAATCCAAGAACCAACTCCATTGACAATAACTAGAGAAAACCTCAATAGTCAAGCGCCAGCTGTCATTTTTAAGGAGTATTGGCAAACTGGCTCCTGGGACATGTCCGGCCCTGTCCTATGGAGAATACTGCCCCAATTACTGAACAGCAAATTTCCAAAATGCAGTCACAGCACCCAAATCACCTTCTGCAAACTGAAATGAGTCTGACTCTTGCAGGTGACTAAGGAACCTGTGATATGTCTCCATTGCTGTGTGCACCACCGTGCAGATTCCCCTTCACTTTCATAAGTGACAACACAGCAAGAAATAAGGGAGATGGGCGTCACTGAAGATGGAAACCGCAATCAGCAATAATAACAACACATCAGAGGTGTAAAGTCTTCTCCGCTCAAACAAGTGCTTGGGTTTTCCTTATCCTATCTCTCATGTTTTCGGAGACCCTCTGTCACCAGGGCAGGAAGCCAGAAGAAATTTCACCAATGGGGACATGGACAGTCATAAAAACCTGTCCCCTTCCTCACTCCATCCAAAACAAAAAAAAAGTCTGCTGTGGAATTGTTTTTTGAAGTAACTCTTTTTCACCATATACATTAAATACATGTGGAGTAGGGGTAGGCAACCTCGGCACTCCAGCTATTGTGAAACTACAAGTCCCATAAGGCACTGCAAGACATGACAGCCACAGGCATGACTCCCAGATGCATGGTTGGATTTGTATTGTCACCACCTCAATGTAAATGTACTTAAACTAGCTTTGTGTGCTGCAGCAATCTGAGCTTACTATGGAGAGACATCAGCACCACAATAGACAGAAAATCGACACTTCAGGGACTGTCAAATGTCCCTCCACCACGACTCTCACTGTTTACTATGCAGAGGCTTCTACGAGATGTTACTAGTACAGAGACCCTGTGATGGCCTATGGAGGGGGAACAGGAGAAACTACAGGTTCATAGGGTAGAATGTGGTGACAGGGTCTCTTCAATAATATTTCTGGACCAAAGAGGATGTCAAGGGACAGTGCTGGAGCATGTCGAAGGTAAGTGCACAATGGTAATAGCTTTATTTTTTAAAGGTCGACCCCCCCATTGTAGATTTAGTCTACAATCCACCCTGCTGTGAAATGCTAATTATATATATATATATATATCACATGACCTCACCGGGCATGCTTATAGTATATCCAATGATATGTTACATATGTAGCAACATATACAAAGCCATTGACATGTTATTACACACAACAGATAAGGATGTTATACTGTAAACTGACACATCCAATAACAGCAAACAAATGGCGATCACACAGGAAGACAAAACTACAACACGAGTACAAGTTCCCCATACAAGGTAATAAATCTGCTCAGCTTTGTGTCTGTTGCAGGCAGACCGTGCACACTGTGCCTGTTGGGTCATGGAGCAGAGGAAGACATTGCAGTCTCTGCACCCTGACCGCAGCCCATCTCTCCGGCTCACCCACACACCTACGGCCCGTCCCGCACCACCGGCTCCCTTCTCACCTTCCTCCACCGAAACTCCTGCCGACACTAAACGGTCACACTCGGGATTGGACACTGCAACAAGCAAGAGGCGCAGTCACGGCGGTGGGCGTGTCACATAACAGTTGGGAAGGTGGGGCCGAGAGTTCTTTTCGTTCTTCCACAGCGTTCTACACAATTTGTGGGCGGGACAGCCGCTGAAATAACATTAAGTAGGCGGGGCTGCGGCGTGTATGAACGTCACGCTCTAACTTTCCAAAACTTTTCTTATTGGTGGATTACGTGAAAAGTAAAGGACGCCGCCCTGTGATTGGGTGATAAGAAAAGCTAAACAAGTGGGCCGCCATGCTTGTGAAGGGCGAAAGAAGACTGTACACGTTGTACACTGTTGCACTAATTTGTTTTAACCCTATTGTAATGTTAGCCGGGACAGGAATGGTTTTATAGCTTTCATTGCAAAACTGTTTTAATGCTATGCGTATTTTTTACGTGATACTTTTGCGAGGCAGAGTTGGGTCCCCACCCAGCCTTCAATACAAGCTTTAGAATACGTCTTTTAATGGCTGCACAGCGCTTTAGCAAACTAAAATGTCACCCAATTAGGATCTATACGATCTACTTTAAGTTACAGAAAGGCCTGTTTTAAGGTGGCATGCAATATGAATGTACAATCGCCATTAGATTTATAAAACCATCCATGATTGTATACAACGCTCACCTCTCGATCTACTGAGCCAACCTATGACAGTCTCATTGTCACAGATCGGCTAGAACTATGAGTAGGGTTGCCACCTTTTCTTCAAGCGAAACCCGAACACTCAAGCGACGCGCAGACATTTTTTTGAGGGAATGAGTCGCAGCGTATTCATATGTAAATAGCGCCGCCCATTCATATGTAAATATCACAGTTGAGACTATTTTCAGTGGGGGGGCCAGTAGCCCCTTTCTTAATTTTGGTCTCCCCTGTCTGCCTGACATCTTGTATCTGGGTTTCTGCTGCCATGAAACCCGAACACAGCATTCAAAACCCGAACTGTCCAGGTGAATCCTGGACAGGTGGCAACCCTAACTATGAGGTGAGTGAAAAGCACTCATCTCATAGTTCTCCTTTAAATATCACCGGGAACGTCAGAGTGAAAGCAATCATTCTAGAGGCACCATTAGCTTTTATGTTTGGTATCTATTTACTCGATGTAACCCATCTTTTATGTTTTACCAAAAAAAATTGTATTAAGTTGTGTTCGTGTGCACTAAAATTCATTTTAGTGTTTCGTTTACTAAAAATATTGATTTGGTAAACATTTGCGCAAAGATCATGTCATATTTTAAAAAATGCAGCTACCATTTTTTTTCTACAGGGCCTTTGCTTTCAGAAAATATATACTTGTTTGGGGTTTTTAAGTCATTTTCTATGCAAAAATCCAGATAGTAATATGTGTGCCTAGGTGAGAATGATGGAAGGATTCCCCGAATGCCTCCAGCAATGTCCCCTATCACACATGCCAGGAGACAGGTGAGCTGAGGGTCGCATACATGCTGCAAGATTCCCCACATGCGCACATTTGGTGCTGCTTTCTGCCAGGTATTTGGCAACTGGTAGAGATCCGCAGCATGCCCACACATGGTACAGGTCTCTACAAGGTCTCAGATGGCAAAAAACAGTGGTGTAGACACACATGCATGGAAAGCCCCCCACAGGTCTCTGCCACATCCTGAAGAATGTACCTCCCCCAACTGTCCCTCATTTGCAACCAAAGTCCCTATAATTGGTCTGATGTACAGATATCTGTGGACAGGCTCTATTTATCTACGAAAAGTGTAAATCTGCACTTAAATCTTCATCTTATCTCTTAATTATCTTTTTTGTAGGGATGCACTGATACTGGGCATTTTCACGAGAACTCATACTTGTGAAAATGCCCCGATACCAAGTGCTGATCCCGTCGCTTTAAATTTTTAAACACAAGCGGCTTCTGTAAGGTCCCGCACTTGCTAGGGACCTCACAGTGCTTCCATCTCCTGTACCCGACCACCTGCACCTCATCTGACGGCCGCAACGCTTCTGAGGCCCGCATCCACTTGCCAAACCCTCCGGACCCCTCCTGAGAGCCGGTATGGTATAGCAGCATAAAGTATGCTTATATTCGGGAACACACAAGTAGGAGATGTAGGGACGCTCTGTGTACAACCCAAGGGTCACTTTCAGAGACCTGATGACATCTCCGAGATCTGCACCCCCCTCTGATTGTCCTATAAATCGAATATAGCCATACACAGGAAATAAGACGCTCTTGCAGATTTGTATAATCATGTATTGCTGGGATTGGTAGTCCTCTATAGCGGGTTGCCATTCTCCATTGCTGTATAATCATGTATTGCTGGAATTTGTAATCCTCTATAGCTGGTGGTATTCTTCCTTGCTCTATAATCATGTATTGTTGAGATTTATAGTCCCGCTACAGTGGCAGAACTACCAGGGTTACAGCTGTGACAAGGCCCTGGCGTTCCACCACTGTCCTAAAATCCTTAGTCTATATTGATTGATTGTTAGATTGTAAGCCCCCACGGGCAGGGTAGCCCTACCCTGATTTGTATTGCGATTGTAATGTCTTCCTTATATTGTAAAGCGCTGCGCAAACTGTTGGCGCTATATACATCCTGTATAATAATAATAATGTTTTAGAAAAAGTCACATGACACGGGAAAAAAAAAAAAGGTATCTGTAATTGGTAATCGACAAGTAGTTGAGGAAAAGTATTCGTACTCGGTCTGGAAAAAAATGGTATTGGTGCAGCCATACTATTTTGCCAATATAAAGTGAAGATAATGGTGAAAAGAAAAACAATTCTGGGTTTAACCATTCATTTTTGCCATATGAATTTTTACTGGTCTATATAACCTTGGGGAATGGCGGTGTGTGCCTATTGTCGAAATACATTGTGCTAGAAGGTATCCATCTTTTTCATCTCAGAAAGTTGGGAGGTATGCAAAGACCTGGCAGAGAGCACCGGACCAAAACGGATGTTGGAGTAGATGAAAAAGTTCAATAGTTCTGATGACCAAACAGCCAACACGTTTCAGGCACAAGGGCTTGGAAACAATGAGAATAAAGGAAAGGAAAAAAAACCAAACAATCTTAAATTTAGATTATTGCAGCTATGGGTTCTCCCAACATTTGTTGATGGAAATCTATGAATTTTGGGAGAACTACCCATAGCTGCAAATAAGATGGAATGTTTTTTTTTTTTTGCTCAGAGTCCATTTCATTCTCATTTCCAAGCCCTGAGGAAGGGGTGTGCGTTTGCCCCTGAAATTTGTTGGCCGTTTGTTGCATTAAACTGTTTTATGGACTCTAACATCCGTTTTGGTCTGGCGTCTCTTCTGTTTTCTGTCGGAGTCACTAATTATAAATGCCAGAACCGGGAGGCCCAAAGCCTTCACTTTTAAAGCCCCTCTCCAAGATACTTTGGAAGATTTATAACCAGAGATCACCATTAAGTTAGCTGAGCTTTGTATGCTACATTATAGCTTATAAAAATGGAAAAAGTCCTCTTTAAAGCGGGCCATACACCATTAGATTTTTGTTTTTCTGTCAGCCTGTGGGCTAAAAGAAATAAATCTGACAGATTCCTCCACCCGCACTCACCAGCATGGATGGACAAGTCTTCCACTGTGGCTATTGTATTTTGACAGTGGCAGGCGCTGACTATCAGAATACATGCAACACAAAAAGAAAAACGGGTTTTTGAGAGGTACTTCACCACGGCTTGAAATTTGGTAAAAAAGTTTGATTTTTATTTCACATATGTTATAAATATACATATAAAAAGCAACAAACAGTTGCGATAGGTTACAACAAAATTAGACCAGGAGCATAGACCCATTTGACATACTATACATATCCATTCTAGATCGATACACTCAGTGTGTCCAATCCCTACGCGTTTCACAACTTGGCTTCATCAGGGGATTGTAAACTGATCAACCAATGGGAGTAGCTTAATGTGGGTCGAGCTCTCTGTGCAGGGGTAGGAGTCCTCTGACAAACACTCCGCCCAGTTTTTGCCGCAGTAGGAGGGAAGGATTACGTGTATGCGCAGGACAGGACTGCCTATGCTTATCTTGCAGTATTCTTATGCTTCAACATCCATAGACCTGTCAAGTTCTGGTAATTGTGCCAGGCATTGGAGGCGAAGGTGTTAGCCTGCGAGTGGGAGGCATAGTGCCAAGCATAGGAGTGCCAGGCATAGGAGGCGAGTGCCAGGCATAGGAGGCGAAGGTGTTAGCCTGCGATTGGGAGGCATCAAGGCGGCTGCGGGTTATTGTTTGTGACCGGACCGATCGGATCTTTCATCTCCATACCAATCCTTTGCCCCATGACCAGAACTTGACAGGTCTATGGATGTTGAAGCATAAGAATACTACAAGATAAGCATATGCAGTCCTGTCCTGCGCATACCCGTAATCCTTCCCTCCTACTGCGGCCCCGAGGTCCCTTGGACAAAAACTGGGCGGAGTGTTTCTGTCGGAGGACTCCTACACTCTGCACAGAGAGCTCGACCCACATTAAGCTACTCCCATTGGTTGATCAGTTTTACAATCCCCTGATGAAGCCAAGCTGTGAAACGCGTAGGGATTGGACACACTGAATGTATCGATCTAGAATGGATATGTATAGTATGTCAAATTGGTCTATGCTCCTGGTCTAATTTTGTTTTAACCTATCACAACTGTTTGTTGCTTTTTATATGTATAACACATGTGAAATAAAAATCAAACTTTTTTACCAAATGTCAAGCCGTGGTGAAGTACCTCTCTATAACCCCTGTTTTTCTTTTTGTGTTGTAATTATCTAAATTTACACCTCGGGGGGCCATTGTGCTAGCTGTTCACGACTGTTTTGCATAACAGAATACATAAACAGTAACTGCAGCTGATTGGCTTGCAGTCACTGTTCATCCAACAATTTTTAGATAGGCTCCTTCAACAAAAGTTGATTCATTAATCTACTTCTGTCGAGCTGGCAGGATCCCCCACTGTAAGGGGCGAATCAGCCAAAATTCTAACAGTATAT